GGAGTGGCCCAAGTCCCCCAGAAAATCAGGACAGAGCAAGAGGGAAACAGAGGCCTAGGACAGAGACCTGAGGGGTGGCAAAAGGGACAGACCTAGGCAGAAGGAGAGGAGGTGACCAAGGAAGTGGAAACCAGGTGAGAAGCCCGAGACAGCAGGGCATGAGACCAGGTCCACCCTAAGGACTGAGAGTAGCACACGTGGATCTGGTGGCCAGCGAGAGGCAGAAGGAACCTGGCTGGGGCAGAGCCAGGCTGAGTCCAGGGGACGGCAGGCAGAGGCAGGGCCTGGAGCATGGTGCTGGGCTGGAGCTAGCACTTCCCACTCACCAAGGCTGACCGCTACCATTATTAGTCTGTTTGCCACTGCTATAAATAACTGCCTGAGACTGGGTAATTTGTAAAGCAAAGAGGTTTAATTGACTCACAGTTCCTTCCACATGGCTGGGGGGGCCTCAGGAAACTTGAAATCATGGCAGAAGGAGAAGAAGGAACATCCGACATGGCGCTTACAAAACCATCAGATCTCATGAGAACTCACTCAGCATCATGAGAGCAGCATGGGGTAATCTCCCCCATGATCCGATCACCACCCACCAGGTCCCGCCCTCAACACATGGGAATTACAATTCAAGATGAGATTTGGGTGGAGACACAGGCAAATCAGCTACACTTTCCAGAATTTTTAAAGCCAGTTGTCAAGCACAGGTATCATTAAAAAGCAAATCATATTAAATATATGAGAAACAGAGGTAATAAATAAATTGAGTATTTATTAGCAACACTCGTCGGCTCCTAATCCATCTACTACATCTTCAGTATTACTTGTGCTCCGAGGTTGTGTCTGCTGCATCTTTATGGTGGAAGCACCACTGATGGGGCTCCTGCATCTCTTCCTAGTGGCTCAGTCAGGGGTGTTGTGTCAGTAGCCCCAAGGGCCCACAGTGGGAGCATTTACACTGTGTGCATTGGCAGATGCTGCCAATCAGGGCTTGGTTGCCCAAAGCAGGTTGTTAGGCATTTACCAGCACACCACTAGGATACAAAGAAGTGGAGAAAATAGGAGAGGGTGGCTTTTCAAGCACTTTGGCTCTAGAGAGCAGACAAAGAAAGGATGGTAATGGACTTATGAGGTGAGATTGAGAGAAGTCAAACAGAAAAGATCTGTGTAATCCCAGCACTTTGGGAGGCCGAGGCGGGTGAATCGCAAGGTCAAGAGATCGAGACCATCCTAGTCAACATGGTGAAACCCCGTCTCTACTAAAAAAAATACAAAACATTAGCTGGGCATGGTGGCACGTGCCTGTAATCCCAGCTACTCAGGAGGCTGAGGCAGGAGAATTGCCTGAACCCAGGAGGCGGAGGTTGCGGTGAGCCGAGATCGCGCCATTGCACTCCAGCCTGGGTAACAAGAGTGAAACTCCATCCCCCCAAAAAAAAAAAAAAAGAAAAGATCTGAAAGCTTCTCCCAATAGGTTGAAGATACTGGAGAAAGGGTTGATACCTACAGTGAGGAGCCCAAAGAGACAGGCCTAGGTGAAGGCTGGTCCTGGGGCAGACACCAGGACAAGTCTTCACTGTAAGGTGACAGGAGGAGTGGGAGGGAGAGGAGCAGGTAAGTGATAGTGTCAGTGAGCAGGCACGGAGGGGCCTTCCCTCCAGCACCTCTGTTTCCCTGCGATGCAGGAGGGGAGGCCTTGGGTGTTGGACCCTGAGAAGGCATTCAATCACTGTGAGATGTGAGAGTAAACTCATGGCTGCCAGGTGTACAGGGGCCTTGGTGCTGCTCAGAGTTTGAGGAAGGGAGAGGATATTTCAAATTGTGGTAAAGTCGGGGCACCTGGGATGCAGAGGTTGCTGTGGCTGACAGCTACTCCAGTGAGCAACATGGCAGCTTTAGAGTGAGTAGGCCCATGGGAGAGGGCCCAGCTGTGTCTTCCTGGGGTGGTAACATGTTTCCCCTATTCCATAGGTATCCTGGCATCCATCTGTGGTGGCCTTGTGATGCTTTTGCCTGAAACCAAGGGTATTGCCCTGCCAGAGACAGTGGATGATGTGGAAAAACTTGGCAGGTACTGTCCAAAATTCATGCTCCCTAAATTAAAGCAACATTTCAAACCACTGGTGAACAAATGATGTAGAGAAAATTGAATATCCATAGGGAAAAAATAAGAATAAATCCTCATCTCATAAGCAAAAAAATTCAAAGTAGATACAAAAGGCTAATGTTAAAAAAAAAAAAAAAAAAAACCCTCCAAAGCTATGTAAGAATAGGCATTATTTTTTAAACGTGGTTGTGAAGAGAGAAGCACTTCCATGTAGGGTCGTAAGAGTCAGAAGTGATCTAAAAGAAGGAACTGATGACGTGGAAAAGTGGAAATCACTGGGACATGCAGTAGCAGGGGATTAACAGTGTGGCTTACTCTACAGAGTGAGGAGGAGTCAGGTCTGACTAGATGGAATGGCATAAGCAGCTTCTCAAGATTGATTACAAAGTGAAAATTCACTGAACAACATATTATAGTATTTATAAAAAAATAAAACCAAAGGCAATGTCTCCCTGTAGCTGGATGGGAAGACAGGTGGTACACAGATGATAGATAATAGATAATAGATGGATGATAGTAGATAGATATACTAGTTGATAATCATAGATAAATGATAAATAATAGATGATAGATAATGTCTGCATAGATAGGTGGATAGATAATAGATTATAGATAAATAATACACATTAGTAGGAAGATAGAGAAAAGAGAAAGAGATTGAGTTTTAGAAGGGGGTGGTGTTTAAATAGTGTATAGGAAAAGCTAATATCTAGCCAATATATTAACACGAGGCGTTATATCACAAAAAATTCACATTACACGTATTCTTTCTAATTTTGTTTGAAATTTTTTAATTAAAAATATAGAGACTATGAATATGAGAATGTATAGTAAAAGATGTGAAATAATAATATAAGTTGTCTGTGAACACAAATGGGCTTGTAAGAGAGGCAGGGAAGGGAGGGCCATCACTTTCTTGCCAGCGACTTCTGTACTGTTTGATTTTTTAGAAAAATTAGAACACATAGTCTTGCGTTGTTTGTGTAGTTTTAAAAAATGGTTTAGAAGCTAATTTAAAAACTAAAAAAGCAAACTTAATAATGACCTAGGAATTAAGGATATGGAGCTCTAAATATTTTTGATATATCAAAAATACTGGGGAACAGCTTTCTTCCCTTTGATTCTATTCCATTGACTGTATATAACTATACATGTTATAGTATAAATACTATAACATGCTGTCTGTTTACACAGTGAGAGTGATGCATTCATTCTTGATCCCCAAACCAACCAGGGGTCAGTTTTGCAAACTCATCAGGAAATAATGGGAGAAAAGGAAACCCTTTGAAGCCAAGACTCTTCTACCACTTCAGTCACATTAAAAATAGACAGCTGGAAGAGATTTTTCTTTTTTTTTTTTTTTTGGCTTGGGGAGTGTGGGTGGAGGGGGTGTTGTCTAAATGGTGTGTAAGGAAAATCAATACCCAACTAACATATAAGCATGAAGAATTATACCAGCAAAAATTTAAGTTACACAGATTCTTCCTAATTTTTTCTGTTTATAATTTTTCATAATGCAAAGTGTGCTACATTAATTAATTATACCTAGTCTCTACACGTGAAAAAAAACTAGTAGAAGTATGGTTTACAGTGTTACAAATTAAGCACATTAATTGTGATCCATGATTATTTACTCTACAAAAATCACTTAGTGCTAAAGTACCAAAACATGTTAGCATTTCTCTTCTAAAATCACATTGGATTATTTTACCATTTCTGCTGGGTTTTGTTCATGTTAACAGCTCATTTCCAAACATATGTTAGTTCAGTAGCAATTCATAAAGAACTTAAATGCTATAATGTTAACTAACCCCTGTCTAGGGTCTGAATGCAGATAAAAAATGAGGCTGAAGACAGACTGTGTTGTTACCTTGGAGTTGGGTTTTCATGACAAGTTATGCATGAGTGTCTTTGATCAAAACCAGCTATACTGTTAAATAATAACAGAAGACCCTCTTCTAACTAGTTGCATAGTCTTTCATAAAGAATTTCTCCTTTTTTTTTTTTCAGTCCACATTCCTACAAAAGTGGCAGGAATAAGAAAATCCCAGTTTCCAGCTCTCACGTTTAAGGCCCCTGCCAAAGACGGAAGGCCGGAGCTATCCAGGAGCTGATCCTCCTTGCAAAGCTGTGCCTTGCAGAGATGCACGTGTGCATTGCAGCTACATTATGCCGCGCTGTTGTAATACTGTATAAAGACTTCAAACTATCCAGAGTATTTTTATATAAAGTTGGATGAATTAGAATTTTTAATGCTGTTGAATTTTCTGGGAACACATAATATGTAACCAGTTTAACAAAGAACCTGTCAGGTGCACAGCCCTTCCTGGATTTTTTTCCTTGTGTTCTCTGTGGTCTGACCCATTAGGCTAAAGAGAGACAGGAGAAGCCCCTCCCCCGACCCGATTCTCATGACAGCTCCATCAAGAATGTGGGATGTGCCAACCAAGGATTTGAGAAAGTTGTAAAGAAATGTGCTCATCAAATCTGATCAGTCAAGGGACTAAGCCCCTAACTGACCATTCTGAAGACTGCACGGAGGATGAAGATTTGAGAATCCTGTTAAGGAGGCTGAATCACAGGCACTTGGGCCACGGAGTGTGAGCATTCGTGTTCTCTGCTCACCTTGGGTCCCGAACACCTTCGCAATGTGAACAGGTCAGGAGTCTCTCCCGTCCACCTCCTCTGTAGCATCTGGAGTTCCAGGCATGGTTTAGGCCCCATTCCAGCAATAAGAACCAATCTGCTGTACAGTCTGAGGACTTGCCTCTGTTATTGATAAAATAATGCTATGGTTCTGACATGATTTGGGACATTTTTGGCCCTTCTTTAGTGGACACCTAGAGCCACAGATTCCCTTCTTTACTAAACAAATCCCATGGATTATGATTTCTGGGTTTTAGGATTTTAACAGTGAAGGGATATTTTTCCTACACTTGTGGGTTCAGTTCCGATGGAGCCTGTGTGGTCAGAAGTGAAAAACACGGACAGCTCCCATTCAGTCTTGGCACTTTGACATGTCTTGGAGAAAAGCTTACGTTTTAATTTAAAAGAAAAGGTCAGTTATATCCATGCTTAACAGGATCAGCAGAAGCTTTATAAATGACTTTATGGAGACTTACAAGGGATTTGATTTTTCTTTTTTGTTATCAAAGCTTTGAAATGTGGAACTTGTGTGTTCTGCTTTGTATTGTATATTCATTATCTTTTCAGACCCAATCTTCATGCTGAGTTTTAAAAAGAAAATACTTTACGTGAACAGGCAAAATTGGTACCAGAGGGAAACACTGACCATGAGGAAGAACATTTCTGTAAGGAGAACAGGTCACAGTATACGCATGTGTGCTAATTGTAAAATGAGAATCTTAGCCCTGAAAGCACATCAGAATTGAATACAAATGATCTGTTTGTCACCGAAATAAACATGGCTCTTTGAGGATTTGAGACTACATTCATCCTTTATTCAGTCACTTGCAGTTTTGCCCTTCTCTGCATTTCTTTGCTGTAAGATGACTGCTGCACTGTTAAATTGTATTTTGAGTGGATATGTTTATTTGGCAACAATTAAAATTTTAAATTGTAAAAAACGTACATTTGTCCTTTCTCTTCCGTTTAAACATGTATCACTGCCACAGTTCATTCTCCTGTGACAATGTGCAGCAGACTGTTTAAAAACTGGGCAGGCAATTAGCAATGGGAAATAAGTGGTCCACCTTCAATATTTGCTTGTTCATTTACATGCTCCTGGCACCCTTCCTAGATTCACAAGTGCCGCAGAATAACATTCAGACTCTCAGCTGGTCTTGTGTTACACGCTCATGGCCCGGTTCACTCCCTGATATACACCTCCCTGCTCTGGGTCCCCTCTGGGCTCAAGTCAACAGTCAGCAACAGATTTCATTCCAATAACAGAACTGGTTCTCATGGCTCCCCGTACATGTTGCAGCTTTGAAAACGTTCATCTCAGTGTTAGGAGTAAAGACAGTAAAAATGTGTGTCAAGCCCTCGTTAGCTGATGAGGCAAATGCGTGGACGACTTCCAAGGAATACTCGGCTCTCCCGTCTGTGACCTCGCAGCCTTCTCAGTCCTTTGTGCGGCTGTTTCTTATCAAAAACAGTCAAACCCCCTCAGTCTGCCCATTTAAAATTGGTGGGGTGAACCGAGAACATGAAAATGTTGAAGACCAAAACAAAAATGTACTCAAAGTAAGTATAGAGTTTATTTTTAACAAATGTCAGAGCTATGCCACTTTATTACAGAATCCAGCAGTTAGACAGGAAAAGCTTACACACGGTACCATAAAAAATGCTGAGGTCTGGCGAAGCTGCTGGCTGGGGACAGTGTCTTCGTTTGGTTACTGTCAATTATTTCCAGCATGCTGAATCCCTACCCATGTTCCAGCCTCTAGGTGAGTTGATGCTTCACTCTGTCTCCTGTCCAATTAATTATTTCTCATCATTCTTTCAATCCAAGTAACATACCTTGAAACACGAACATAGACAGCAGGCTTATTGGGACGTGCACAACCAAGACCCCAAGAAGTGACTCCTTGTAAAATGTATTTGTCTTTCTTGAAGCAAACCAGAGGCCCTCCACTGTCACCCTATACAGAGGTAGGGAAACATTCATGCAAGGGTAAAGCTGCCAGCCTTTTAACCACCCTTCTCTCATCCATATGTACATTTTCCCAGTAATTGAAATCAGAAAGGAACTTGTGCGCATATTCCTTAAGCATCTGCAGTGCTTAAGTACTTAGCAAAGTCTATTCAGCAAAACCACACTACTTAGTTTTTCCTGGGGAAAAAAAATCCCTTGTGAATCCTGCATGATCTCTTCCTATGTTGGGGTTTCCTTTAGACTGGGCTAGCCTGGGCATCCTTGTAAAGTGTGTGCAGTTGGTCTCTGTCCTGTGCCCTCTACCTCTTTCCCTACTGGAAAAGTCACCACTTTAGTCCCTAGCCACTAGCACACCCCACGAGGGCAAATGGCCTGAGGTAGTTACAGACCTTATAATTCCCTTGCTACAGATCTGGAACCCAAGCCCCAAGACCTCCCCTTAGATGATCTGAATATGCGTTCAGGCACAGATCTAGGGAGTTGCTGAGCAACACTTAGACTGGGGTCTTTAGTTGACAAATCCTTCTTGAATTTGCCATGTGGGGACTGAAGTCTAAGGGGCTGAGACTGAGATGGGAGGACACAAGACTAAGTTTGGTCTCTTGATCTTTTCTTACCTGGCAACTGTCAGTGCCTCCTGCCAGATCCCCAGCACAGAGCTCAGTGGATCTGACTCTTCCATTCAGAAGCTCGTAGCGATTGCACACTTTATTCTCAATCACGGGGAGCCGGGCTTCCTTGAGAACGCCAGCCCCAAAGGTACCTGTGTTTAAAAAGATGAAAGAAATGGTTACTGCACCCAAAACATGTTCAGGAGGAAATTCCCGAAGAACAGAGCAGCGGTGCTGGGCTGTTCTTTGGGAATGTCTGTCCAGGAAGCTGCGGAACACAAGGCAGCTCCCAATGCCGTGGGACCCTCTGACCCTGGAGAGTGTCAACATCATATACCAAGTGTCAATATCCAAGACCTGGATTTAACAATCTGGGCTGTGTCATGGTGCTTTGGGGTTGGTTGTTGTTTGTGTACTTTTTGTTTTTCTTAAAACTATGAAAATGACTTTCACAATGTAGAGTCTGAGAATTGCAATTCCTATTCATTTTATATACCTTTTTTCAGATTTTTACTCTTTCCTTACTACTCACATCATAATGGGACAGTTTCATATACTGATTTTTTTAATCAATGTATATCATGAGTTTTTAAAATAATGCTACAATCTTCATAATTAATATTCTAATGTGGAGCTACTACTTAATGATCATGAGATTTCCTTTTGGGATGAGGAAAATGTTCTGGAAATATGGTGACATTTGCACACCATTGTTAATATACTGAATGCCACTCAGCGGTACCCTTCAAAACAGAATAGTGACTCTTATGTTGTGTAATTTTATTGCAAAAAAAAGAGAATAGTTATCATTTACCAAGAATTAACCTTTCCAGCACAAGCTCTTAATGTGGTGTATCTCACTTAATCCTTACAACAGTCCTGTGAAGCAGGCACTCGTATCATTCCTGTTCTACAGTTAAGCAAACTGAGGTGTAAGGAGGTTGTGTGATTCAGTTTGAGCCTGGGTCTGTGGAGTCACTGCCCAAATGCTTCCTCCTCGTGCATGTTGGCCCCACTTTTGCTTCCAACATTTCACATCTTTGTTCATAAAGTTCAATCTTATTCCTTATTACTTTCTGAAGTCTAAGTTTCCATAATGATATAGACATATTTCTATCCCACAGTAACACTGCCAGATGATTCTCTAAAACGGTGTGACAGTGTAAAATGTACTAGAAAACAAATACTTCACCCTTGTGTATATTCAATTTTTAAAATAGTAGCTAACCTAGTAGGTGAAAACTGTCCTGATTCATCTTCTGATTTGCGCTTCCTTGAGAATTAGGAAGAGAAAATACAACTAGGGCAATTCTCCTACTTGTATTTCTTCTTTTGTGAAAAACTGCTTTATTTCCTTTGTCAAATTGAAACAGAATGTCTGCTAAATTGCCAGAGGAAATGCTATTTTTTCCAGATGGCCACGCTCAGGGATGTTTCTGTGCTCTCACAAATAATCCAGTTTTCCAATTTTTCAAGCCCAGCTTTCACTAGAATTTTGCAGAACTCTGCTTTGCGAGCATGGCACAGGCAAGAACTGGGGCACTCTCTCCTTTCCCCAAAGCCTTTGACTACACTTTAATCATTGCTTTGGGTTCAGAAAACTGACACTGCATCTGGAGTTTACAAGAGCCGCATGGGAGATGCTCATCCCAGCACCTTGCTCCAGAGTCTAGCCGGGCCCTAGCACGGCAGAGTTGCATGGAGGAAGCTCCTCCTGACTACCAAGCACTGGACATGGGATGCATGACCTGGGCTGCATAGTTGTGTGAGGGGGCACCCTTCTCAAAATATTTTGCTGAAAATTAAGTTAGGTGTCACTGCTGTCGAATCTGCTCTCTGAGAAAGGCAAACATCCTGATAAGGGGGAAAACCCATCAGGCACTGCAGGGAAATTGATGTGGTCTGTGAGTACATGCTGCCATCCAGTGGCCAATATAGAGATGGCACCTCTGAAGGCAGGAGGTCCACAGGTGATCTGAGGACTGAAGCCCTCCTTAATGGCCCCTGAGTAGAGGGCTGCAGGATCAGCCCAGTAATTGCAGATGAGGCTTACATGGAAGAGCCCCTCGGCCTTCAACACCTACTCTGCATTTGGAATATCCAAGTCCAGGAAAGTCTGGAAACATGGAGGGGAGAGGTGGAGAATTACAACTCCCTCTGAGAAACTGAAAACACCCATTGATCTGATGTCATTATTAACATATCGAAAATGGACATTGATAAACAGGCTTGAGTTGTGTTGTGTGACTCCTCCTGGTCTAGTTAGTGTTCTGAGAATCATTTTCTCAGCGGACATGTGGGTGAGACCAGAGGAGACAAGGAGCCAAGTGCAGAATGTTGGTTAGAATGTGTGGATGGGGTGGGAGAGAGGAAACAGTAAGTGGGCTCTGGGGTCAAGGCCCAGCAATGCACTGGTTATGTGATGTTTATTTATGATGATGGTGATGATGGTGGAAAGGTGGTGATGATTAAACCAATGGTGATTGTGATAGTGCTGGTGATGGTGGTGGTGGTGAAGATGGTGGTGGTGAAGATGGTGATGGTAATAATAATGGTGATGGCAGTGGGTAGCAATGATGGTGGTGGTGATGGTGATAGTGATCGTGGTGGTCTGCAGTGATGTTAGTATAAGAGATAGTGTTGATGGCGGTGATTGCAATTGTGATGATGTTGGTAGTGCCTGGATGTGACAGAGACAATGAATCCAAGCTAGAAAGCATTCTTCAGGATATTATCCAAGAGAACTTCCCCAACCTAGCAAGTCAGGCCAACATTCAAGTCCAGAAACTACCAAGAACACCACAAAGATATTCCTCAAGAACAGCAACCCCCAAGGGACATAATTGTCAGATTCACCAGGGTTGAAATGAAGGAAAAAAAATGCTAAGGGCAGCCAGAGAGAAAGGTCAGGTTACCCACAAAGGGAAGCCCATCAGACTCACGGTGGATCTCTCTACAGAAACACTACAAGCCAGAAGAGAGTGGGGTCCAATATTCAACATCCTTAAAGAAAAGAACTTCCAATCTAGAATTTTATACGCAGCCAAACTAAGCTTCATAAGCCAAGGAGAAATAAAATCCTTTATGAAAAAGAAATTGCTGAGAGATTTTGTCACCACCAGGCCTACCTTACAGGAGCTCCTGAAAGAAGCACTAAACATAGAAATGAACAACAAGTACCAGCCACTCCAAAAATGTACCAAATGGTAAAGACTATCAACACAATGAAGAAACTGCATCAATTAACAGGCAAAACAACCAGCTAGAATCAAAATGGCAGGATCAAATTCACACATAACAATATTAACCTTAAATGTAAATGGGCTAAAGGCCCCAGTCAAAAGACACAGACTGGCAAATTGGATAAAAAGTCAAGACCCATCAGTGCACTGTATTCAGGAAACCCATCTCACATGCAAGGACACACATAGGCTTAAAATAAAGAGATGGAAGAAGATATACCAAGCAAATGGAAAGCAACAAAAAGCAAGAGTTGCAATCCTAGTCTCTGATGAAATAGACTTTAAACCAACAAAGATCAAGAGAGACAAAGAAGGGCATTACATAATGATGAAAGGATCAATGCAACAAGAAGAGCTAATGATTTTAAATATATATGCGCCCAATACAGGGGCACCCAGATACATAAAGCAAGTTTTTAACGACCTACAGAGAGACTTAGACTCTCACACAATGATAGTGGAAGACTTTAACACTCCACTGTCAATATTAGACAGATCAGCAAGACAGAAAATTAACAAGCATATCCAGGACTTGAACTCAGATCTGGACCAAGCAAACCTAATAGACATATACAGAACTCGTCACCCCAAATCCACAGAATATACATTCTTCTCAGCACCACATTGCATGTATTCTAAAATTAACCACATAATTGGAAGTAAATCACTCCTCTACAAATGCAAAAGAACAGAAATCATAACAAACCGCCTCTCAGACCGCAGTGCAATCAATTAGAATTCAGGATTCAGAAACTAACTCAGAACTCCACAACTTCATGGAAACTGAACAACTGGCTCTTGAATGTTGATTGGATAAACAATGAAATGAAGGCAGAAATAAAGATGTTCTTCAAAACCAACAAGAATGAATACACAATGTACCAGAATTTCTGGGACACATTTGAAGCAGTGTCTAGAGGGAAATTTCTAGCAATAAATGCCCACATGAGAAGCAAGAAAGATCTAAAATTGACACCCTATCATCAAAATTGAAAGAACTAGAGGGGTAGATAAAAAAAAAAAAAACAAAAAACTCAAAAGCTAGCAGAAGACAAGAAATAACTAAGATCAAAGCAGAACTGAAGGAGATAGAGACCAAAAAAAACCCTTCAAAAAATCAATAAATCCAGTAGATGTTTTGTTGAAAAGATCAACAAAATAGACAGACCACTAGCCAGATTAATAAAAAAGAAAAGAGAGAACAATCAAATAGATGCAATAAAAAAACGATAAAGGGATATCACCACTGATTCCACAGAAATACAACCTACCATCAGAGATTACTACAAACAACTCTATGCACATAAACCAGTAAACCTGGAAGAAATGGGTAAATTCCTGGACACTTACACCCTCCCAAGCCTAAACCAGGAAGAAGTTGAAACCCTGAATATACCAATAACAAGGGCTGAAGTTGAGGCAGCAATTAATAGACTACCAACCAAAAAAACTCAGGTCTAGATAGGTTCACAGCAGAATTCTACCAGACATACAAAGAGGAGCTGGTAACACTCCTTCTGAAACTATTTCAAACAATACAAAAAAGAGTGAATCCTTCCCAAATCATTTTATGAGACCAACATTATCCTGATATCAAAACCCAGCAGAGACTCAACAAAAAAAAGAAAATTTCAGGCCAATATCCATGATGAACATAGATGCAGAAATATTCAATAAAATACTGGCAAGCCAATTGCAACAGCACATCAAAAAGCTTATCCACCATGATAGAGTAGGCTTCATCCCAGGGATGCAAGGTTGGTTCAACATACGCAAGTCTATAAACATAATCCACCACATAAACAGAACCAAAGACAAAAACCACATGATCATCTCAATAGATGCAGAGAAGGCCTTTGACAAAATTCAACAGCGCTTTATGCTAAAAACTCTCAATAAACTAGGCATTG